CCGGACCCCACGACCCATTGTGAGGCAATGAAAAGGAGCGAGAGGGAGAGGAAGGTGGGGAAATTGGTAAAGAGATTGTCTGCGGAGAGAATTGCCATGCTGAATTGCACTCCTTTAGCCAAAATGGTAGGAAGGCGTTCCCTTCCAAACTCATGCCCAATGTGGGGTTACAGCAAAGGAACCCCCGAAGGGATGCTGAAATATGTCCCCTATCGGTGGGACTGAGAGAGAACTGACACAAGCCCTACAAAAGCTAAAGCAAACTGTGGACGCAGGTTTCCTTCCTGCCTGGAGTCTGGGGAGAGGGGGAGCTGATGGCCTGGATGAGGTCAAAGGTCAGAGGCGACTGCTATCCTGGAGAGGATGGTCAGGGCAGGTGATGTGTGAATGTCCCAGAGCGGGCCACGTGGGACAGCCAGCAGAACTGGGTTGAAATTGGGCTCTATCCCAAAGGCACTCCTGGAGGATAAGGGCGCTTCAGCAGACAGAGGCTGTGAACTGGCTGCTGGATGCACAGGGACTGCGCGAGGCCTCGTGAGTAAGCGATAGAGGTCCTTCTGTCCCAGGAAGGACTATGATGGAAAGGGCCCGGCAAAAAAAAAAAATTCTTCTGTCTGTGTTTGGGACCTAAAGGGACTCTTAGAACTGTCAGTTACCTAAGAGTGAGCAGGAAATTCCTGCTGGAATTTTCATCCGACGGCAAGGGAATATTACACCCACTCAACACAGTTGTGGACGTGCAGCAAAAATAAAGGTGCATTTTGAATACATCACAAATCATGTTTGCTCAACACATTGGAAACATTACGCTTCTCCCAAGGACCAGAGTTGATAGGAAGTTAGCAAAGGAAGCTTCTCAGAGGAACCCCATGCCACATTTCCTTTCAGCTGGCCGAGGTTTAGCAATAACTCATGTCCACTGCTTCCTTCCATAAAACTTGAAGACCAGGTCTTCTTCTGGCCAAACATCTTATGCCATGTCTCCTGAGACTGTATTCGGGCATATTCGAGACATCTTGATTCTGCCCATCTCCACGTCTCTTTCCAGCTCCCAGCTCTCTCCACCCTCCACTCTCTATCCCATGGGCTAGCAGTTGGGTCATTGTCCTTTGCGATGAAGGAGTATCAAGTAGGTAATGAACTAGAGGCACGACTAGTTCATTGGGTAGTGATTCAGTAAAGGAGGTGGATGGTGGCATCAACAACTTCCTTGAGAAATAAAAGAAAGGTTTCCGTCTCTCCTGAGAAGACGTGGAGCGACACTGAGTATTTTGGGAAGGGGTGATAGAGTCTTCTGCCTTGAGTCTTTCTCTAGCTCCTCTCTGGAGTCTCCAAACACTCAGGGCTGTTTGGTTAGCTGTGTTCTCCTTTGATCCTGAGGAAAATTTTCCCTGCTGAAGCAGTCAACAACCTCCAGCCTGTGCTGAGGGTGTCAGAAGGCAAAGTATGTGCTTGGTGGAATCAGGAAGGCAGATAAAGACCAGTGAGTGACATCTGGGCAGTCAGACCAATGACTTCTTGCATGAGGAGGAAAGAGAAACACTGTGATTTGGGACTGCTGTATGAGGTTATAAAAGGTGAAATATTGGGAACATTAAAGATATACATAAAGAGCATTTTTCTCCCAAATGTCAGACTTGCAACAAGCTTGGATTTCCTTTGCTATATAAATGCTTTGCTTTTCCTGGGAGTTGAAGATGATCCTTTCACGCCAGATTTTCCCATCTTCACTCTAAAGTAAAGACAATCTGCCCTCCACTTTCCCCCACTGAGTGCTGAAATGACTTTTACTTTTTGAGCAACTCACCCACAATCTTTGCCAGGAAAGGAAGAACAGAGGTAGAGATGAATGAGAATTCAAGTAGGAACTACACAAGTTTTTGATCTTTCAGAGGTTTAGAAAAATGGAGAAAAAGAATAAATAAATGATATCAGAAGGTAGCCAGCAACTGTATTCATTTTCTCCCCTTGTTCATCCCCTGAGCACAGCGTAGTTAAGCATGGGACTCTAGGTCCAGTGACTTACCTGTCACAAGCTTATGACCTTAGGCCAGTTACTTTAATCTCTCTGTGCCTCCATTTCTGCATCAGTAAGATGGGGATAAAAGTAATATATACCTCACTGAGTTGTTGTGAGCTGATATTTATATGAGCCGGGATTTAAAGGGTACTTGTTGCATAGCTGGTGTTACATATTTGTTAGCTATTGTTATTTCCTCATGTTCTACTTATTTCTTGGGTCTGTAGGAATGTGAGGTAGGAAAAGATAATGTGAAGAAAAGTCAGGTCCTACCTCCAATGGTTGATTTGTTTGTGATTTGTAGCAATAATGTACCCTAGCTACACTTATTTTTCATCCATATTTTTTTTAGATAGCATTAGAGAGTCCGTCATGATGATGTTGATGAGAACTTGAATCTTTTCACTCATTTATTCCTGCATCTGTGTTTGTTCATTTATTGATTATTTATTTGAGTTGGGGCACAAGGCAATTTATAAACTTTTAGAGAGCAGAAATTTTTCCCCTCAAGGAAGCTGCAGCCATTTGGTTAATGGTATAAACCATTAACATCTAATCAGACTGATTATGTTTGGTTTATTCTGTTAAATCCCCATAAATAAAATGAATCACAAATAAAGGGCCCAGAAAAAATATTTTGTGAGAGACATTCAGTGTCTATACTACGAGACTGATCTCTCTAGCCATGTGCATACCTGCCGTCTGTCTTCAGACTGTAGATGCTGTCTCTCCATCTTTACCAACACCTTCTTTTGAAGTCACTTGGCATTTTTTCTACTGTTGTGAACCTCAAGTTGTTCAATAAACACCTATGGAGTGCCTGCTATAACCTTAACACTCTATTTCTGGCAAAAACAGTTTAGGGATTATAAATTATATAGATACTGGCCATAATTTTCAATTTCATTTTTTGGATCTATGTTAACCTGCAAACTATGCCTTTTCATTTGCCATCTGGGCTTTACTGAGGTATCTGAAGATATAGCCACTCTGCAAATAAGGAATCTAACAGAGGACCCAGTTTTCTCTGGAATATTAAAAAACAACAACATTTTATTAGAAGGAAAATGATGCACTTATGACTTGGTTCTTCTCCTGGGCTCAAAAAAAAGCTCATACCTTCAAGGTTTTTGAATTGCTAGCAAAATTTTATCAGGCCTTCTTGCATACTCCACTTAGGCCACTAATGGTGGGTGGTACCCCTGATGGTAACTGAAGGTGTCCAAATATTACGGGGCGATCCTGTACTCTGAAAAGAGAACTTTGACCTGAGTCACCCCTGACTCCTCTGGGCCACAGTTTTCTCATGGTAAAAGTAGAAGTCTATCATGGGAAAGGTTAAATGACCTTTAAGGTTCTTCTAGCCCTGAATTACTTGGACTCTACATCTGTGTCTGCGCACACACAGCCTCCAGCGACACGTGGCTCCTGACTACTGACATGTGCTGTGCGTGCAAAACACACATCAGGTTCTGAAGAGCTGGTACAAAAAATGTGAAATATTTTGGATATATTGGGTTAAATATATTATTAAAGCAAACTTCACTCACTTTTTAAAATGTGGCTGTAGAAAATTTTAAATTGCTTTTGTGGCTTGTATTATATTAATATTAGACTGCACCACTCTAGACCTTTAAAACAAAGGGGTCAAAATCTTTAAGGGCTTTTAACGTTCAGTGGTCAATGTTTCAATATTGTGGTCCTTATGCCTCTAGAAGTCAAGCTAAAACGCTTATCTACCAAAAACTAATAAACCTCGTGTGGTGAGATATTTACCACCATTAGGTCCTGTGAAAGTTCTATGGTTACAATACTCAATGTTCAACCCCTATGGTATTGTCTCAACTATGTCATTAACAGATTATGGGGAAATACAGCAAAATTTCAAGAGCGATTATTTCTAGGTAGTGGAGTACTGAGTGATTTTGGAATTTTTAAAATTCTTTCCTTCATCTTTCAATCTTTCAACCAATGAGGACCATTATGTTTCTTCATCAGACACATGTAAATCTTTAAATTTCAGCATGAATGATTTTATAAATTCTATAAACATCACAAACATGTAAAAAAGAGGTCAACTTAAAAGAAAATAACTCCAAATATTTTAATCTGCTTTTCTATATTTCCAGATTTTCCATAGTGAATAGGTTATTTCTATCAAGGTAAAAAAAATACACCTTATTTAAAAATGGCAATATCCACTCACCCTTTTAACCTTAAACCTAAGTTAATTTGCATGCTTGTTTTCTTAGAACTCCTGAAGCTGTTATCTCTCCTGTGTTAGATGGGAGAGTAAATATTTTAGGTTTTGGCTTCAATCTTAATGCTAATAACAGCTACTTTAATATTTTTATAACTACCATCAAACAGAGCAGTAATTATTTAGAGTCTATGCAGAAGAAATCCAAAAGATATTTTAATATGCCACCGTGCCCGGGGTTTAGGTTGTACTGGGAAAATGCCCATCCAAAGGGGTGTCATTCACATCTGAGTCCTGCAGTAACAGGGGAAGGTACCCTTCTGCACGCAGTCCAAGCCAGCACACTGAGGAGGGGGCACATGCATGCACACGCGTGCGCGCACACACACACACACACACACACACACACACACACACACACACACTCACACACACTCAAATGAGTGACTGGAGCTGCGCCCTCTCCCTGTCCTGCTGAGCATCCCTTGCAGTTGCTTTTCTCCCCTGCCCTCCACTCTCAGAGGCCAAACCCACTGCCCCACCTGCTTCAGGCACCATGGGGTGTGGGGCAGAGCTGTGGTGGCATTGTGTGGCAGGGAAGACAGAGCCAGGTCTGCTGTCTGCCCTGCTGCCTCTGGAAAGAGCTGGGCTTCTAAAGGCCTGTCAGGTACGATGGCTTAGACTGGTAATGTTTTTATCTTGAGGAAAAGGGTCTTTTTCCCATTCCCGCCGGGCAACAGCCCTTTTGAATACGGCCGTTTAAAGCACAGCAGAACTTACTGTTGGTAGAAAAGATGACTTCTCCCTCCTGCGGGGCGGGGTCTGTATCCTGGACCACCTGCAAAGCTCCCACAGTCCGCACAGCAGGGTCCAAAGTGACGGAACTTTCATTTACGGTGGTGTCGCTTGCGCCTGTGATCTGGTTGGTTGGTGGGCCTCCCAGAGACCCCTCGAAGTCTGTGGGCAAGTCTTCCATGCAGTCGGCATTGGGCTGATGGGAGCAGAAAAGGGTCCACTCTTAGTGTGTGTTAGTTAGAGGTAAATTGTCTACAGCCTAAATGTTTTGTCTCAATGGAAAACCCAGCTCTTAACTGTCTGTTTCCTGAACCACTTTATTTAAAAATATTCCACATATAGTTCTGTAATTAACATGAAACCATCTTCCAAAATTTCCTTTCCAAAGGTTCCATTTAGATCTTGGTACAAGGTTTTAATTCCAGGAGTGGTAATATCTGTACATTACTTAGAGGGAATAACATGATATTTATTTATAATGATAGCCCTTTCTATACAGAGTATTTACTCCTCATCTAGGAAGTAGCTGACAGCCTGATAATTACCCTCAAAGACCCACATGCTGTTTGTAAATATACTGAAGACATGGGGGGAAGGAGGGGGGGACAGAATCTGACTCATTGCGAATTGCTCATCAGAAATACACATAGACACAAACACACACACACACACAAAAGCAAAAGGTAAGACAATTTTCTTGTTGCTGTTATTAAACATAAGCCAAAAAAACAGCTGTAGAAAAACGTCCTACTTACTTCACATGTAATTGATCATACATTTGTCAAATCTTCTAAATTAAAATCATAAACTAGGGGCGACACCATCTAGGGTAATTCATTACCCACTCATTGCAGGACACTTTCCCCCTGTACCTCCGACGGCTCCCCTTGAATACACATGGGAGTTCTCCGCTTTGCACAGCAGCCTGTGTTGGTCAGCTGTGTTCGACTGTTCCGTTACTGGGCAAGGAGGCAAGTTTCACCCTTTGGTCTTAGTTCTGTTTGAAGTGGTAATTGAATATAGGTAGTAGCGCTCTTTCACAAACAACGTTTTGAATGAGTTTCAGTGGTGATACCTCTACTCAAATTCATTTAAAATTATTTTAAAAGGTGGTGGAGGAAAGAGATGGGCTTGAGAAATACTAAGAATATCTGTTAATTTTTTTCCCCCCTCTGGTCTTAACGTCACCCTTGCCTTGAGTGACAATAATTAGATGGTTTTGCACTCCCAGTGGATGAAGGTCAAGATTAGGTGAGAATTCTGGGTTGACGCTGATTGAATTAACACCACAATGACCACACTGTGTTCAAAGTTCATTAAAAGAGAAAAAGCTACACTTCATGGACTCACTGGGAGCACAAAGCAAGAGTCAAGGCACTGGGCTCTGGTTCTCATTTTCCGCTCTTAAATCAGTGTCCTGGGCTTCACATCTGTGTTTGCAACTCAGTTGGAAATCTCCATCATTCCACCAAATCCTCAAATTCATCTCATACCCCTTTTCTTTGTATTCCCTTTTCTGTTGGTCTTCTTCATTTCTACTGAAAGCAGGTCAATTGTTCCAACTCAAGTTGTCTAAAGTCAATTCCCTGAATGACCAATCCACCAAATTTCCTGATTGTGACATTGGACGTGAGCTGTTATGTTATGAACGTCTCTCACCCCATTACTGGTCTCCTCCTCCCCACTATATCCCATTCTCCATTTTCTCACCAGAGCGTTCTGTCTTAAAAACAAACAAACAAACAAACAAACAAACAAACAAACAAACAAAATGACAACAACCCCCCCCCCACACACACACACACAGACACAGACACAGGTATGATTCTTCTTTTCTCCTAAAGAATGAATTACGAGCTCAGTAGTTTAGCAAAACAGGCACTCAACAGTCTCGCCCCAGCCTACTTTTCTGGCCTCACTGTCAGCCAATGGAAACACACAGAACACCACATATTCCCTATCTCAGAGCTTTAGCTTACGCTGTTCCTCTACTCAGGCTGACATTTGCCCTAACCATCCTTCTTTCCTTTCTCATCCCAAGATCTCAATGTGACCCTCCGGGTGAACTCCGAACCACCCCTCAACTTCCAGACCAAATGTCTCCTTTTCTAAGTAGCGTTTCCACCAGGTAGTCATCTTTGATACTCAAATGCTTTAGCCCCACTTCTCTGATGCTGTTATGTTCATTGGTTACTGTGTCTGTCTCACTCTATTAGTCAATAAGCTTTTTAGTTAAATCTGTTTTATTGAGATATAATTGACATGTAATATTGTATTACTTTAAAGTGTACACCATAATGATTTCATATATGTATGTATTGTAAAATGATTAGCAAAATAAGTTAACATTCTTCACCTCACATAATTACATTTTTTTTGTGTGATGGGAGTTTTTAAGAGCTACTCTCTTAGCAACTTTTAAATACACAATACAGTATTGATAAGTATAGTCACTATGCTGTACATTACATCCCCAGAACTTATTTATCTTATAGTTGGAAGTTTGTATCTTTTGACCACCTTCACACATTTTGCCAAGCCCCTCACCTCTGGCAACTATTGATTTGTTCTCTGTTTCTATGACGCCACATATAAGTGAGACGCAAGCTTTTTAAAGCGAATCAATACACTATATTGATCTTGAATTCCAAACCCTCACATAGTGCCTGACAATTATTAAGTGGTCAGTAAATGTGGATTTGAAAATTTTATCTGAGTCTCATTTTACTGCTCTGATAAGTTGGGAACCTAGATCAATTAAGGGGGGATTTGATAGGATGCTTTAAAAGCTGTCAAATTCTGTGCAAAGGGAAGGTATGCCATTGCAGGGTAGCAGAATATGCCACCCCAAAACATGTTATGGGGGCATAAGGATTATTTTGAGCTTAAACAACTGAGAAGTAGATAAAAAAATGCTCTCTGTTCTCTCTCTATTTGCCGAAAAGCAGTATATAAATTTGTAAAGGTGTCCCCTTCTCTGTACCAGGAAGAGAACATTCTTATCATCAATGATTGGGAGTCAGCTCTGAAATGGATCTATACAAACCTTACTAACATGCCCTTACTCACCATTAGTTTCCTCCATACACAGAGTGTGCCAAAAAAAATGTACATACATTTTAAGAAAGGAAAAAACTGTATTAAAATTGTAATACTCAATATATACTGATAACCAAAGATGAATACAAGTCATGTATATACATTTTTTTGGCACCCCTGGTATTTACCTTCCACAATCTGCTTTCCTAGAAACTCAAAGTCCTTTTTTGTAGTCTTGTCACTTCTCTAAATATTTATTGCTTTCTTGAAGATGCTATATAAGTTCAAGTTCTAATCACCCCTTTGAGCTACTCATCACTACACGCTCCCATGTGTGATGCATGTGTGAATTAGCTTCAGAGGGAAAAAAACTTTTCCCCTTCCTCTACACTATGTAAAGATGCTTCTAAACAAAATCCTTTGTGTGTAGGGGTATTGGGGAGGAACAGGTTTCACAAGGAGGATCCTGTGAGGATTGTTCTTTCAGCCATAAGCATCTGAATTCAATCCTACATGTGATAGCATACAATTGATATACTTTTCACAATATTTCATTTGCTTGTTGATATTGTTTCTTTATTTCTTTTCTTTTTCTAAAAAAATATATTTTATTCATTTTGAGGCAGGGTGTTTGCTTTTACCTTGTGAACTAGTAAAAACAGTATTATATCTTTCACAGAACAAGGAGCGGGAAAGAGAGAGAATTAGCCCAGTGAGACCGTAAGTGGTAGCGGGTATGAATAATCTGGCTTAGATATAGTATTTAATACACCAACCTCGCTGACTCTCACAGTTTATATCTACTCTAAATGGTTCATTAAATAGACTATATTGAAAAGAAACCCAATTTATATGCCTCTAAGAGACATGACAGTCCTAATGTTTAGTAAAAGGTGTCAAATGAACATGGCATAGGTATTTAAATTCTGGTTATCATGGGGAAACTCCGCAAATAAACCAACTGCCAAATAGTTAGGGATTTGTGAATACTCCAGCTATTTAACAACTGTCACCCTATTCCTGTTATTCCTAGTTGGTAATAGTAATGGGAGAAAGAAGGCATTTGCTGGCATATGAAAGACCCAGTTTACACGGTACCTTATAGACATAGTCACTGAAACCCGTGTTCTGCCATCCTACAGAGAGACACACTTAGACCTGACTGGACAGAAAGGAGAGTGACACAGCATAATGCAGATAAAAGGATGAAAACACTCCTGATAACAAAAGGACTTCTCCCTGCCTTTCAGTCGAGTGTTTTATTTCTCTTGGCAAAGCATAATGAAAAAAGATACCCTTCTTAATGGAGATTTCGTGATCTCCGAGCTGTGCTTTCATTCTTGAGTTCATTTTAGAGAAATCCACTTACAAAATGAAAACGTCCCCAGCTCTTAGCTTTCAACTTAACATTTATTGGCCTTATGGCCCTGGCAGGCACAAGGATGCTCAGTGAAAAACAACAAAACCAAAACCACAAAAACGCCTTACTACCTGTATTTGGACAATCTAGTGGATCAGGATTACAACCAAGTGGTTGGCGAGTGGACACTGTTCAAAGGAGGATGAGGGTGAATTTCACACATGGAGCTCTGTGACTGGCAGCCTACAGACTCTGAAGGGGGACAGTGCCACAGGCATTTATTGAGGACTTAACATACATAAGGAATACAGAGATGAGGGACCAACAGGTACCAGTTATCAGAGGGAGAGTGACAGGGCCTTTTATATTCTTCTTGGTTAAGAAGACATGGCGTATAAGGACGTTAGGAAAACTGTAAAACCATTCTTCAAGTTGCATACAAAGGGTTTTCGTTAGCTCTAGGAAGTGTTTCCTAGTTGAGAAGGCTGTGAGCTTGTCCCATGACATGGAAAATTCTAAGAATGGAGTAAAAACCTTCATCTCTTCGGTATAAGTTAGGCACGGTGCTACCCAGTGACCAAGGGTGGAGTGGAACAACATCCAAAATGCCTCCCAGGTCCAGGCCTCAGTATCGTCCTCCAGGACAAAACCAGCAGAACCTCGGGAAGGCAGAGGGTAGCCACATGCCTGGGCACTTCGTGAGAAGCCACACATTACGGACCTTCTTCACGGAGGATGCTCTGCTCTCTGGGCGACCTTGGGTGCCTGTCACCTTCCTGTTCGGCTGGCCTTTAAGAATCCTTGGCAAAATCCAAAAGGTGCTACTTATTTTTCTGGAAGTCAAGCATGCTAAGTAAAATCCAGACTTGATAGGCATAAACTGGCCAGAAGGCCTAACGGCTAAAAGTTGCCATGTTATTAGTTTTGAAAATAAGCCAAATGGCCACCCAATAATTCTAGTTTAAAAATGATGAATAGTTGTATTCTCAAGTCACAAGTAGCTTCTGGAGAAGTTAAACCACCTCAGGAAAAGTTTTGAGTCAAACACTACTTACAATGGTACAAACTTTGATTTCACTGTCCTGACCAAGGAGCACTGGGATCAAAACTGAGGAGCTCTGAAAATATCCCAAGCAATATGAGTTAGGTCAAATGATGTGTTTTTCTGCTTTTAATTGTGAGTATGTACTCCAACTATTTTGGCGACCAAAGGCACGCAAAGGCAAACACAAGCATACATATATTTCCCCCTCCCCTTGTAAGACCCAGTTACAGCCAGAAAGGTGAAAAGTGCAAACACTGAGCTCATTTTCTAAGTCAGCGCTATCTGGTAGAGATGTTGGGATTTTACTAGTATTTCCCATTCACGGTAATTGATTTTCACCTTGAATGCATTATGCATTCATAACTCTGGTCTGAAAATTTAATGCATTGCCTTTCAGCATCTAGCTCAAAGCGATAGTCACACAAGGTGATTTGTGTCTGGTGTATCAACCATGAAAATCAGCTCACAGCTGGCACAGAGGCAGCGGGTACAGGGGCGGAAATTCAGCCAATGGTTGACATCATCATGCTTCAGGTGTGCCCTCTCCAGCAGTCACCCTGATAGTCCTAGAATGATAGCCCTTGGGCATTAAAGAAAACCTCTGCTATCTGATCTGATCCTTCCTGCTCAGTGACATCTTGGGACTGTTAACATTCTTTGTTCTCTGCCATCAGTGCAGTGAGGAGTGACAACAAGGAGGCTGTAGCACAGTGGACAGGGAGGGGCAGAGGCTGGTCTGTACCCTGATTGCCTAGCTTCTTTTAGGCAGCGCCTGCGTTTTTTGCACGTCTGTCTGTACAGCCCTTGGTTTGCTGACCTGGCTTGCTTCCTGCCCTCACATAGCAGCCGGTGTGTCACCAACCACCAGTCTGTGGCTTCACTTGCTGTGGGCCTGGGAAAGTCTTCCCCTGGAGGGTCAAGCCAGCCAGCTGGTGGGATTCTCTCTGCCCTGGAGGAGACACTTAATTTTTTAAAACATAATTGAGGCACAAGCTTGATGACCACACTAGAGCTAAGTGGCTTTGGCTCTGGTTTCCTGCTCCCTCAAAGTCTCCACAGAGGTCTGAGCGGGGCAGAGGCTCTGAGCCAGACTCCCAGCAGTGGTCCTTCTGCCCATTGTTGGGAAGGGTTGGTTTCCTCTGCAAGCTAGGCGACCGTGGGGCCAGGTCAGAAAGTGTGGCCTGCAGGTCTCCCCGGGGACGGTGCAGGGGTAATGACACAAGAGGAAATCGATGTACAACTGGCCCATTGGGCCTCTGCTGGTGTCTCCCCTGTGCTCACACATGGAAGAGAAGTTTATGAGCTGCACAAGCAGCATCTCGACTCACAGACAAATAAAATGGACATCGTGAGAGGGTCATGATGTTCTCGGGTTGAGAAAAAGTGAGAGGAAAAGTGTTTTCAGACATGGGATGTCTCTTAGGGCCTCATCAGATGACACCCCTGCTATGGGATTGAAGGGACATAGAAAACCCAGGTGTGGTGTTTGGTCCCTGCTTTGGGGGTGATGCAGAAAGACAGACATGACGATGCTGGAGGCTGTGCTGTGCTTACCGGGATCCCTAGGGCTTTAAGAATGTTCATCTTGCACATGGGACAGGTGCGATGGTCTAGAAGCCAGGGGTCAACACAGGACTTGTGGAAAAGATGCCTGCAATGAGAACCATACATCTTAGAGCGGCGGCAACTGCAGAGACGCCCTAGTCCACCACAGCCCAGGGACTCGTCCAAGGTCACTCGGCTGCTCATTGGCAGAGCCAAGACTTGAACCTCCGTCTCCAAACACCTGGGGAAATGTGCTCCTTGTTATACCCTGTGGAGATACAGTCAAACTCCGTCTGGATCCCAGGAGTGTCCTATAGGACTCCAAGTGTCAGAAAATGTAGAGAATGTACAAACAGAGAGATATTCCTCTTTCTCGGTGGGAAGAATGTTGACCGGAAAGAACGCCAGCGGGGAAACTGACACAGGCCTTTCCAGATAACTTGAGAGATGCTACTTTTCCATATGTTCTAGCAATTGTCTTTGTGTCAGAAAGCTTTGGGTTCAAATGCTTAAACAGGACCAAATTACAGAAGTGTGTAGCAAGGGCCACCTTTGAAACTGAACTTGAAACATACCCACGTGCCAAGGATGGGATTAGCTGTATACAAGGTACAATTGGACTGGCGATTAGAGAAAGGAGCGTAGCGACCTGGATGTGTCCATTATGTTTGCAGGTTATTGTTGAGAATGCCCTGCCCATTTGCTGCTTGGAAGGTGTGTATTGCATGCACTCATTCCTTCATCCATGCCTTCACTCAGCAAGTAGTGTGTGCCCAGAATTGTGCCATTGCCGAGTTGGCGTGGTAGAGATCTGGCCCCTTCCCTTAGGGAGCATAACAGGAGAGGCAGACATTAATACAATAATATAAATAAGCTACTTAATGACAACAGTGCTGAGTATGACCTCAGGAGAACAGGGAGTTTTGTGGGGGCTACTAACTGGGCGATTTCTCCTAGTTCAGGTACACAGGGAGAGTCCCTGATGAAGTGCCAAGGCTAAGGCCTGAGGGCTACAGGCATTGTCCACGTGAAGGGGCGCGGACAAGAAGGAGACTGTTCTAGGCAGAACAACTGGCTCGGACAAAAGCCCTGAGCTGGGCACTGGAAGAAAGCCAGACCCAGTGCAGCGGTGAGGGAGGCGCTGACGCTGGATGGAGCCCCCCTACCCTCTCCCACCCCTCCCTGCCTAAGCAATAACAGCCTCCCTGTGTTCTGGCTCTACAGTCAGGAAACCAGTTCCTAATCTGCTCACTGACGGCTGTTCCTCCTGGGAAAAAAGTCAAACATTCTGTCCCTTTGATCGTTCCTGGGAGGCGGGCTCTGCTGTGTCTCCTGCACACACGTTGGAGTCAGAATGACGGCAGGGCCCATTCTTAGCTGTTTTATCTTAAATAAGTCACTTATATCCCAAAGTTGCATTTGCTCATCTATAAGACGAAGGTGTATCTATTCATGCAAAGAAGACTTCCCTGCGTCTCCAAGCCACAGAGTCATTCCCTCACCTCCTAAGTTATTTCTCTCTATGCACTGGTCCTTCCCACAGCAACTCTGTGATGGTTAGTTTTAAGTGTCAACTAGGCCAGGCTATAGTACTGGCTAGTACAGGCTATTCAGTGAAACACTAATCGAGGTTATTTTGTAGATGGGATTAAAAATCAGTTGATTTTCTTTTCTTCTTCTTTTTTAAATTGTGAAATAAACATTTTTAAAATTAGTTTCAGCTGTACAACACAGTGCAATAGTTA